CCCATCCCAAGGGGCAAACTTCCCACTACACCAGCCAAGACCCTCAAAGCACACAATCCGTATCCAGCTGGACATCCACTGCACAGCGCTGGCCCTCCTCCACGATCAACCCGTCCACAATCCAGACAGAAGAGCGGCATTGTGCCGACTCCACAGCTCTCAGTAAATTTCAAGTAATCAAAACGTAATNAACCCGTCCACAATCCAGACAGAAGAGCGGCATTGTGCCGACTCCACAGCTCTCAGTAAATTTCAAGTAATCAAAACGTAATTACCTATGATGACACCACTATGCATCAAGCTCCAGAATTCTTTCATTTCATAAATAAATATTTATTCCTTTTTACYWCCATCTTCCACCCTGACCTGGTAGCAACCACCTTTCTACTCTATTTTTGTGAGTTTGACTTTTTTGGATTCCACATGTAAGTGAGATCATCAGAAGTTTCCTTCTGTTTCTGGTTTACTTCATTTAGCAAGATTTCTTTCTTGTTTATGGCTGAAAATATATTGAATATTATATATATACACACCGTATTTTCTTTATCCTTTCACCCACCAACAGACACCTAGGTGTTTTCCACATCTTGGTTCTTGTGAACAGTGCTGCAAGGACATGAGAGTACAGAGACCTCTTTGAGATGCACATTTTATTTATTTTGGACATATACCCCAAAGCGAGATTACTGGTTCCTACCGTTGTTCTAGTTTCACATTTGCGAGGCACTTCCACATGGTTTTCCACTATGGCTGAAGCAATTTACATGGTGACCACCAGTGTGCAAGGGTTTTCTTTTCTGCACATCCTCATTGGCATGTTATCTTCTGTCTTATTCATAAAGGCATTCTAACAGATGGGAGGGGCTAGTTCTTTGTGATTTTGATTTGCATGCCCCGAAGTTGAATGATGTCAAAGCAAATTTTCATATTCCTGTTGGCTATTTGTATGTTTTGGAAAAATGCCTATTCAGGACCTTTGCTTATTCTTAAATTCAGTTATTTACTTACTCATTTATTGCTTTGGGGTTGTATAAGTTTCTTTTACATATTTTGGATATTAACCTCTTGTCAGACATGTGGTTTGCAAGTACTTTCTCCTATCGTCTGGACTCATTTTTGTTTTGTTGATTATTTTCTTTGATGAAAAAAAAAATGAACAAAAACTCAAACCACAAAGATTTTTAGTTTGATGTAGTCACACTTGAAACATTTTTGCTTTAGTTGATTTTGGTGGCCAGTCCAAACTGCCAAGACTAATGTCAAGGAAGTTCAACCGTGTGTCTTCTTACCAGAGGTTTTATGGTTTCAGGTCTTACCTTTAAGTCTTTAATCTAGTCCAGTTGAWTTTTGTGTAAGTCCCATCTCATTCCTTTGCCTGTGGATGCCCAGGTTTTCACACACCATTCCTTCAAGAGGCCCTCCTTCCCCGGGGGGTGTTCTTGGTATCCTTGTCGAAGACTAGCTACCTTCAAATGCATGAGCTTATTTCTGCATTCTCTGTTCAGTCCCATGAGTTGATGTGTCTGTTTTCATGCCAGTATCATACTCTTTTGATTACAGAAACTTTATAATATAGCTAGAAACCAGGAAGTGTGATACTGCCACTTTTGTTCATTTTTCTCAAGATTGTTTTGGCTATCAAGAGACTTTCACGTTCCATATAAATTTTAGAATTGTGCCAGGCATGATGGCACATGCCTGTAATCCCAACAGTTTGGGAGGCTGAGGCAGGAGGATTGCAAGTTCAAAGCCAGCCTCAAGCAACAACAAGGCGCTAAGCAACTCAGTGAGACCTTGTGTCTAAATAAAATACAAAATAGGACTGGGGATGTGGCTTAATGGTGGAGTTCTCCTGAATTCAATCCCCAGTACAAAAAAAAAAAATAGAATTGTTCTAAAAAAATGCTATGGGAATTTTGATTGGGATTGCACTCAATCTGTAGATTGCTTTGGTTAGTAGACATTTTAACTGTGTTCATCCACTTTATGAACAGGAAATATTGTTTCATTTATTTGTGGCTTTAATTTCTTTCACCAATAGCCATTTTTCTAGTATACTAATATCACACTTTTAAAAGAAAAATTAGGACTTGGGCTGTTATGTAAATAATCAGAAGCCCCCATAAATATTCCATGCATATAAACCAAAACTCCCAAGCAAAGACTACCAAACAGAATGGAGAAATTTTTTTCTTAGAGACATAAATCTTAACTGGGAACATGGAATTTGCCTCAGATTCTTTATAGAAAACCCAGTTCATCCTCAAGTGGTTGATGAAAACGATGGACTTACAGATATCAAGGTCAAGAGTCATAAACTAAACTGAAGAAAGAATCACATTTTGTTTTAAGGGAAGCCAAAGGTGGCAGGCCAGCTCTCTCCCTAGGGGAGGAAGGACCCAAGCCCTCATCTTTTCCTTTCCATTAAAATCAGCAAGTCCTCAGAGGCTGGGAGAATGTGGACCAATTATGCTAATCGTGAGCTCTGTGCCCTTTGTCTGAGTACAAATAATGAATCTGTGTCCTGGAGACGGTCAGGTTGCTGGTGCCAGTCTGGTGGGCTCTGATATCTGTGTCTCTTCTTCTCAAAGCCACTGTTTGCATCAGTCAGTCCATGACTGACTCTGCCTTCCTGCTGCCCCTGAGGACAGGACGGAGCCTGGGCCCTCACCATTCACCAAGCTGGGAACAGCAGTGGATTCCAATTCCTCACCATGCCCCAACGGGGACAGAGCACAGCCCAGTGAGTGCAAGGGGGGCGGGCGGGGGCAGACACAGGGACAGAGCACAGCCCAGTGAGTGGGGGGGGGCGGGGGCAGACACAGGGACAGAACACAGCCCAGTGAGTGCAAGGGGGGGGGGGTGTCAGACAGCGGCGATGGTGGAGGGAGTGTGGGAGCCCTGATTCCTCCTCACAGGCAGGACAGTTGGCCTAGGCACACAGAAGACCCCCAGTTCCCTTTTCTGTGATGCAGGAGCATTCAAGGAAAGAGGCTGCCTGTGGCTCTCACTGTGGTGAGGATGGGCTCCTGCCCATGAGCATGAGCTTCTAGGGATCCCATCTCCTGCCGCCTCCATAGGAGGAAAGAGTGAGGTTTCCTTCCTTCCTTCCTTCCTTCCTTCCTTCCTTCCTTCCTTCCTTCCTTCCTTCCTTCCTTCCTTCCGTTTTCTTTCTCCTCCCTTCCTTCTTCTTTCACTCTTTCTTTCTCCCTCCCACTAACTTTCTTCCTTTCTTTCTTTCTTTCTTTCTTTCTTTCTTTCTTTCTTTCTTTCTTTCTTTCTCTTTCTTTCTTTCTCTCTTTCTTTCT